AACCAAAATAAATTTGATGCAGCCATATTAATATCAGACAACAGAGATTTTAAGGCAAATTATAAAAGAATCAATATTGTTTGTATTAGTGACAAACTTGTAACAACCTATGTACTTGTCACTAAAAGGATGAATAAATATTGACAGATTTCTTTAATGAATACCATGCAATCTTTAAAATTGTTGAACTGGAACAACATATATCAATGTTGAAATTTCAAAAACGTATTGGTGTGGAAGAAAAAATCCAATTGCATTAAAACATTTAATAGATAAACTATGATACTTTTAATATGAAGTTTAAGAACAAGTAACAGTTTTTTCAACCTGCTACATTGTCAGTGACATTCGACTTCTCTTATAGCTGCATGCCCACAGAAACTGCAAAGCTAAGTCTCATCTCTTCACCCCGATCTCTATTAGGATAGGGGTCAAAAGTTTTTGAATAGTCCAAGGCCGGGCCAACTGGACTAAAAGGAAAGTAAAGTAAATCTCAAATTATCAGCATGGTGAGAACATGAGCACCAAGGACTGACCAAAACCAGCCTACGTTCTAAGTGGACAGCTTAGCTTGGAAATACGGGTAGCAAAGGCTGATGGTGGCATTTGATCAAGTGACAGAAAACATCAGATCATCCAACGTGAGACCTTCATCATGGGTAATTCCAACCCCTTCCACATTTGAATAAGGCAATGCCATTCCACAGTTATCAGGACAGATTAGGATAAATCGAGTAAGTATGCGTAATAATGATGTTATCAGTGCCAGCAGATGTTTACTTTCTTTGGCTATTACTGTAACACATTTAAGTGGAAGAGGTTTCACCCTGACCCCTCCTTCTATCTACCAATTCTCTATCCTGCTTTAAAAATTACTATAGAAATTCAGTCCTATACAGAAGTCTGTTTGGAATGTAGCTTCTACAAACAATCTCCCCTAATCCCTGTCCTTTTGGGAATTATTAAGGAATTGCTTTATTTAATGGCTAGCTTTTTGCATGCAGAAACTCCAAACTCAGCAAGCGCAAAACAGAATTCATTTCTCCTCCCTCCACCCAGCCAAGACACTTGTAAAAGTTGCGGGGGGGGGGGTTCTATACTCTCACATCCAGTTAAAGCCTCCACCCTCTACTCAGGCTCTCACATCGGGATGCTGGCTGCCAGCCTGCCCCTCCCCCACTCCTGTCCACTCCCAGGGACAACAGCCCTGACACTGCCTCTTCTGCCCGTCTCTGCTCCCTGCCTTAACTCATCTCTTCATGTCTTTCTTTCTCCTGGGTCTAGTGTCCTCTTAAATTCTAATTCTATGTGACCAAGAGTGACCAGTGGGTAGGGTCTGGCTATGCCACTTCCCTTGGAAAATCTTTCAGTGGCTTCCACTGCCCACAGAATAAAGTCCGAACTCCTTAGATGGACATGCGTGGCCTTTCATCACCTGGCCCTGCCAATTTCTCCAGCCCCACTCCATGCCCCTCATTTTCTTCTTCGTCCAAACCAAATCGGTCACAATGTTACCAATGGAACTAGGTCTTTGTTCACATGGGACCCTCTCCTGGAATGCCCACTCACATTGTCTTTCTCTTCTGGCTTTCTCTCGACTTTCAAGACAGGCCCCAGGCTTCACGTCCTGCAGGAATGCTTCCCCCTGACCACCACAGCTGGGAAAAGGATTGGCCTCTCCACCCCAAAGCACCCGGAGGGGAGGGGGGCTGGGATGTGCAAGGAGCGCATGAATGGTTCACTCTCAGAACACACACCCTTGCATGGAAATGATCTATCAAAGTGATTTTCCATAGTGCAAGTTCTTTTTCATCTCATTCTGCCCAGGAAGCATAGCAGTTTTTGAATAGAGAGACACATGCCCTGCACTCTTTCAGGGCATTTTGGGTATGTTTTCTTATTCGCTTAAGATGCTAATTACCTGCTGATCAGGTTTTTCCACTCAATGTGTGGGAAGATCTAACAGGAGTCGGGCATTTCTCATCCAAGGCAAGTGGGTCCTCAGCCTCCTCCTGCCGAACGCAAGAAGGTCCCCAATGCCTCTCACATTTCAGGATCTCAAAACAGGTTGAGGTGGAGACGGGAAGAAAACAGTCGAAATGAAAATGGTTAAGTTAATTAATTGCAAGCTCGCTTGTAGGACCAGCACGTTTATTTAATCAGTTGCCTAGTAACCCTGCCTGTGTATGATGTGAATCTGATCAGCTGCCGCGCCAGCAAATGATGGGCCATTTTTTTCTTGCAGCCGCCAGTGCTCCCAGCGTCATGTGTCCCTGTGCTTTGGGGGTCTGCAAAACCCAAATTCCCCTCCTGCCCACCAGCAGGGAGGTGGTGAGGTGGAAACAAACCCTTATCCTTTTTTTCTCTTTTTGTCCTCTGGGTGTCTCTCTCCACAGACTGAGGGAAGAAGGTCTTTGCATGAACATGCCCTTTCAGCTGGTGAATCATATGACAAGAAAAATCACCCACTTCCATTTGCTTTATGGAGTAGCCTACCCACCAGGTGCCCAGTGAGAAGAGCTGCTCAGCACTCCTGTCCTCATATATGTACCCAGGTCGATAAACAAGTCATATTTCCACCAAACACTGCAGGTTGGGTCGTCTGCCCGTGGCAGAATAGAGAGGGCGAAATAAAGAGGCAGCTTTGGGCTGTTGGTTTTGTGTCGTGTGAGCTTTTTTTAGCGACCTTTAATGGGGAGAGAGGCTAGATGCTGAGTTTAATCACGTAAGACTAGCTCAAGACAAACTGTGCACTTTTGTTTCCTGTCTGAAAAGAAAAAAATAAATAACTCATGCACTAACAGGCAACTGAATGCTGAGCACTCCTTTGGTGCTCGATTTATTGGAGGATTTGACAACAAGAATTTCCTCCTAGTTTTTCACCTTCCGTATGCTATTTTCTTAGCTGGTCGTTTTGAACACCCCTCCCCCGTCTTTATCCCCCAAAAATCCCTGTTCTTAAGCCAAATAAAAAGGAAACATCAATGAAATAAAGACCCATGTTTCTGCTTTGACACACCATGACCACATTTTTATACTATTATGAGGTGGGGTATTTTTTTTTCCTATTCGTCAGTCTCTGCGGATAAAAGACTCCATCTTCCATAAAGAATTCCCACCAGAAATCTTTATAAACCCTCCATCAGAGAGACACTCTGCCATCGTGCTGTGCAAAAGCTAATCTAATTAAGACAGGATCTGCTAAATTTAATAGCCTGCTATGAATTTTTACAGACATCTGGTAGCTGGAAGTTGGAACAGCTCTAACATATAAAATTCACATTGTCCAGATGACCAATATCAGGGTCAAATATTTTCTTTCTTTAGGGAACTCATATTGTTTTGGTATAAATGCTATTTCCAAATCATGATATCCTACAGGTAAATGCACTGCAAAGAAGATTGAGGATTGAAATGTCTAAATCTTGGCTTTCCATCTGCACAGTAAAGGCAATGATATTGACATTGTCAGGTCATTTTATGGACAAGTCTGAAAATGTACACACAGTGCACGCAGCCTGTGCCACCACACAGCACCCCATGTTAGAAAGCCCTTATCTGCTCTCCGGTCTTGAAATTCTTAATTTTTGAACAAGGAGACCTGCATTTTTTATTTCCCACTGGAGCCCACAAATTATGTAGCCTGTCCTGTGTATATAAAATTCTTTTCATGATGCCTGTTGCATCGTAGACACACAAAAATTATTAGAAGCCCCTCTTCCCCATCTTGGCCTTCAGTATAAAATTATGAAATCCAAGCTAGTAGGTTTTCTCCCATTTCTAAGTAGAACAGCCTCTTAACCAATGGTCCTGTCTAAGAACCCCTACCACCACTCTCCCAACAAGGTCTACATCCATTTGTGTGAAATAAGCAATCATACTTACAAAAAATGTCAAATTTCATATATACCCTATATGCTCATATGAGCAAAAGTGAACCATTATACAAAAACTGACAATGCTTATCTCTGAGGCAGAGAACTGGTATCAGGGGCTGGGTTCTGAAAGAGAAATTATTTTCCATTCCCTGTTGTCCTTCTTGTTTTTATTGTTGTTTGTTGTTGTTGTTGTTGTTGTTTTGCCATGTGTATGTTCTGCCCTTAAAATGTAAAACAAAACCTACTTAGGCTCCAGTCATCCTCTCTATGCACATATGTGAGTATATAATCAGTCCTAACTTTAACTTGTCTGGAAAGGCAAAGCCAAGTAAGGCATACTTCCTAAAAATCCAAGAGATTGTCCTGAGTTCTAGAAGCATGAGTTCTGTTCCAGACCCCAGGCACTCACTGGGGGTGTTGGAGATTTCCTCTACTTCCCTTGTGGTCCATAGCCCCGTTGCCAGGGGAAAATGAGAAAAGGGTGTCAGTGTGTGTTCTTCAAGCAAAGACTCTGCCCCACAAAATCTCTCAGGCCTCAGAAAGCACGAGCACGCCCAGGAAACTTTCCAGTGCCGGAAAACAAAGAAAAGTAGAGCAACCCATTAAAAACGTATGTTCTGACAATATTTTGCTCTGGGGCTGCTAAGAAACATAGCATCTAATAGGCTTTGAAGTGAGAAGCAGAATTCCTGTGAAATGAGATTTTTCCAAAGTATCTGATGAAGCAGCTCCTTCCCCTGGCCCCCAGCACGGCATGAATGACCTTGGGCAATGACAAACAATATGACACACCCCCAATCAGCCTGGATAATTACCGTGCTTAATAATTAAGCATGTGGTCTAAATTTGTGTTCAGCATTTCTGTAGAATTCTGTGGGGCACCCAGGGGTGACTCGGGTACAGAGTCGGGCTGACTGGCCCGTTCTCCACATGCCAGTGAAGAAATCTCCCGCCTCTTTTCATCCAAAGAGTTCCAGTCGCCCACGATGGAACCCGAGCTGTCTACTACTGAAAGGAGGAATAAAATTGCTCCGGTATTCTTTTAATCCATTCCTCTGGGGCAGCTAGGTATTGAAAACAAACAAACAAGAAAACACACCAAAGAAGACGAGGGCTACTCACCCTGTTGCAGAAGTGTTATGTATTTTCTGATTCTTCTGTCTGACAAAAATGCTACATAGGCTATTCAACTCTCTCACTGCTCAGTCTGTTGCTGCTTCTCTGCTGTGGTTTGTGGGGGACCAGGCACAATTGGGGTGCCCTAGAAAACAGCTGCAGGAGGCTGGAGGATCACCTTGCCCAAGAACGCACCGAGACAGTCGATGCGTGTTGGGCAATGAACACGCAGGTCACCCCTGCTCCTCTCAGTCCCTCCCGGCTGTAGTCCCAGCACGTTTGCGATTCTGGTTTCCCAAAAAATCCTGTCCGGGGACATCAAATATGTCTGTTGTTGTTGTAGCTGGCAGTTCTAGGAATTAAGGTGAGCTCTCATAAAAGCGACTGTTTGTGTGTCTGAAGTGACACTTGGCAGGATGGAACTGTTTTGTGCTTCACTTGGCTCAACGCTTGCTTTTCCTTCCCAGCAGTGCCTGGAACATCGAGAGGGCAGAATGGATATTTGTTAAAGGAATAAATCAAGACGGAGATTGGTATCGTTCCCTTGTGTGCTAAGAGGCCCGGCGTACTTTAAATTCCAAGTCGCATCTGCTTCAGCCTGTTCCTTTCTGCTGCTTGTCAGAAAGGAGGTGTTGACTTTCGTAGCTTCTTCATAAAGAGATGCATTTTAATCATTTTAGGCCATGGAGGAGTGCTAATGGAGAAGAGTGTGGACTCAGGGGCCAGATTCTCTGGAGTAATGTCCTCCCCCCCCCACCACCACCACTTAATAGCTGTGTGACCTTGGACAAGTCACTTTGCCTTTCTGTGCCTCAGTTTCCACATCTGTAAAATGGACATAATGCAAGATCTAACATCGCACGATTGCAATAAAGATAAAGTAGTTAATACTTCAGATGATCAGAATGATGCTGGTACATAGCAAGTGCCATATAAGTGTTTACTGAAAAAACAAAATGCTATTCTTGGGAAAGGGCAATACTAACTCATGGATGATAAATAACTTTCAGCATAAGAGTGAACTTATACATATTGGCAGGAAATAACTGGAACCACGTTAGGAAGGAGTCCAAGGCCACATGTGGGCTCCGGTAAAAGTAGAAACCTGGTGAAAGTAGAAACTGAATATCGGCTGTGGGCTCTGATAGGGGAATTGGGAAGACACGTGCCCCATTGCTGCTATTCTTGGTTTGCATATAATTTTTGCAACCTCACATGTTCCAGGGATCCAAGAAAATGGGTCACAAGACTAAAAAGTTTGAAAAAAAGTTTTGAGAACATTCGTGTGCCAGATATTATTCTAAGTCTTAAAACACAAAGATAAATAAGGCCTCCACTGCTTTCAATGTGTCTAGAGACCAGACGGAGATATGGACCTGCAAACTCTAAGTTAAAATACAGTGTGTAACGGTGGAGTGTAAGCATAGAGCTTTGAGGGCACAGAGAGGTGGCAACTATCATACTCCAGTGTCAGGGGAGATGGAAGAATCTTTGGGGGATTCCACTTCCTCATATAAAAGCTCACATACTCCTCAAATTGCCCTCTTGTTGTAAACAACTATATTAATGAGCAAGATGCATGAAACAGTGTTTCTCCAACACCGGGCACCAATTAGCATTGGACTGTGATCTCAGAGAGAATGAAATGAGGCGATTGTTGCAACTGTTCTGGCCTAATGCTGGAAGCAGAGCCAGGCCACAGCACAGGCTTAGCAGGCTTAGCAGCCTAGGGCCAGTGGTGTTCCTGAGTGCGAAGATAGAGGTGGGAGTCAAGAAAGGCCAAAGCAGCCAGAATGGTAGGACTGAGCCTCAGAAAGAAGGTGCTTCGTGGACAGAAAGCTAAGATCTGCAAAGGGCAACCTGGAGTCTTTGGCTGACGACTACTTTGCCCACAAGCCATAAAATATGTTCAAAGATATTTTTTAAAAAACATAAGCATGAGGAGGAGAAAAATAAAAGACACGTGCAATGTACACAAATTGAAACTCTAGAGACGAAGGAAAATACCTGAACTGAAAATTACTCAGGACTGGTTCACGATACATTATTAACTTATAAGCATGTACCTTCAAACAATACTCCACCCTGGATATATAAGAAGCTTCCAACAGCACACTTCTAACCCCCTCTTTGTGCATTATTATATACTTTATCTCTACATAGATAACAAATCCCACAGTACATTGTTATTGTTTTTTGTCTTGACAATTGATTACATTTTAAAGAAATTTTAAAATAAGGAGTGAAGTGCCTTTTATGTTGACACACATATTTACCACTTGGGGCACTAATAATTGCTTTAGGTCCTTCTAATCATCTGGCATAATTTCCCTTATGCTTGGATAAGTTTTTTTAAAACATTTCTTTTAGTGCTTGTCTTCAGTGATGAATTCTCTTACCTTTTGTTTTGGTGTTAAAGTCCTTAATTTGCTTTTATTTTTAAGAGGCATTTCTGCTGGATATAAAATTCTGAGTTGACAGGTTTGACCCCCAACACTTTAAAGATGTCTTTCCATTGTCTAATGGCCTGTATGTTTTCTAGTATGAAATATGCTGTCATTCTTTTCTTTGTTTCTCTGTACAAAATGTGTCTTTCAACTCTGGCTGATTTTTAAATTGTCTTCTTATCACTTGTGTTCATAAATTTGGTGATGAAATGCCCTTTGTACTTTTTCTTATGTGTCTTCTGTTTAGGATCCATTGAACTTCCTGGATCTGTAGATTTTTTGTTTACATCAATTGAATTTTTTTTCAGGTATTACTCTTTCAAATATTTTTTCTTCACTCACTACATTCCCCCTACCACCACACACATATACATACATTTTTGGTCTTTTTGTTCTCTGTGTGTTTGTTTTTAATAATTTCTGTTGCTATTTTTTCAAAGTCTCTAATCTTTTGTCTTACAGCATGTAATTTGTTCGGTAATTGACATACCAATTAAACAAAAGAAAAGAGGATATAAATTACTTGAACAAGACTTTAACTTTTTTTTTTCTAATTAAAATTTTGTAGGACTCTTCATCCAACAGCAAAAAACACATTCTTTTTAAGTGCACATAAAACATTCCTCAGGATCGACCATATTCTGGACCATAAAACAAAACTCAATAAAGTTTCAAAGCTTAAAATAATACAAAGCATGTCATCTGACTACATAAAAGTAAATTAAAAATCAATAAAAGACAGATTTCTGAAAAATTTCCTAATATTGGAACATTTTTAAAAACCAGTCAAAAAACTAGAAAACTATTTTTAACTAGATGAAGAAAAAATCAACACATCGAAACTTGTGGAAAACAACTAATAAAGTATTTAGAGGGAAATTTATTGCATTAAATTCCTCTATCAGAAAATTTAAAAAAACCTCTAAACTCAATTATTTATACATAAAGAAATTGGAAAAAAGAAGGGCAATTAAAACCCAAAGTAAGCAGGAGAAAGGAAATAATAAAGATAAAAATGGAGTGAAATACAATAGAAAACAGAAAACCATACAAAAATATCAGTGACAGAAAGCTGGCGTTTTATGGAAATATCAATAAAACTGATAAAACTCCAATGAGTGATTAAGAAAAAAAGACAAAAATTACCAACTTAAGTAAACTGAAAATTACTGACTTAAAGAAAGAACACTCCTATAGTTTACACATGATTTAAAACCATAATAAGAGAATATCATGAACAATTCGATGCCAATAAATTAGATAATTTAGATGAAATGGAAAAATTCCTGAGAGATACAAACTACCAAAGTTCCTTCAAAAAGAAATAAGATACATTGACTAGCTCTAGATCTATTGAAGAAATTGAATTTATGGTTAAAATCTTCACATAAAGGAAACTCCAGGTCCAGATTATTTGATTGATAAATTCTACCAAACATTTAAAAAAGCAATAAGCAATTCTACAGACACTTTTCTGGAAAATAGAAGAGGCTGGACTACTTTCCAACCTATTTTATAAAACCAGCACTGCCTTGGTATCATAACCAGATGAAGATACTACAAGAAAAGAAAATTCTAGGCCAGTAGTACAACAAACATTGTGGCAAAAATGCTTTAAAAATTACTAAAAAAATAAACTCATCAGTAAATGGAAAATCAAAATATTATGACCAACTGAGGTTAATCTGAGGAATCAGAGGTTAGATTAACTTTTTTTAAAAATTACTTTTATTCACCATATCAACAAACTGAAAAAAGAAAAAATATATTTTCATTTCAATAGATGCAGCAAAACAATTTGACACATGTCCATTTATAATAAAAACTCTCAGTAAACAAGGAACAGGAGGGAATTTCCTCAACAGGAACAAGAATATTTACAAAAATCCTATCCCTAGTGCAACACTTATGGTAAAATGTTGAAAGCTTTTCTCTTAAGGTTGGGAACAAGGTAAGACTCTGTTCTCACAACTATATTCAACATTGTACTGGAGAACATCAGTGTAATAGGGCAAGAAAAAGGAAAAAAGGCCTCAGATTGGAAAAAATGAAGTAAAACTGTTTTTCTTCACATATAATATGATTGTATTTATACAAAATCCTCAAGAATCTTTTTAAAGAATGAATCTACAAAGACGTTAGGAGAACTAATAAATGAGTTTAGTAAGATCAAAAGATAAAATATCAATATAAAAATTCAATCATACTTCTATGCACTAGCAATACAGATTTGGAAAATGAAATGAAGAAAAACCTACAATAGTGTCAAAACCTTAAAACAGGGATCAACTTACAATACATGTGCAAAGACTTTTACTTGTGAATTACAAAGCAGGGCTATGAGATGTTTGAAAAGATCTAAACAAATATAAAACTATATCATGTTTATGGGTCCAGAAGGGTTAATAATGTTAAAATGTGAATTCTCCCTAAATTGATCCATAGGCTCAATGCAATCTCAATCAAAATCCTGGGCTGTTTGTTGTAAAACCTGACAAGCTAATTCTAAAAATAGAGAGTAATGCAAAGAACCTAAACTAACCTCCAAAATTTTAAAAATAAGAATTAAGTTGTAAGTCGTACACTACCTTATTTCCTCACTTCCTTTAAGACAATGTGGTATTGGTGTAATTTAACCATATAGATCTATTGTACAGAATAGGAAGTCCAATAATAAACCTATGCATACGTAGCTAATTAACTTTGACAAGAGTGATGATGCAATTCAATGGGGAAAGGATCGTTTTCTTCAGCCAATGGTACTAGAATAATTGGATGCCCATGTGCAAACCAGCCTACGAGACGACCCGCAATAACCTTTGCTCCTTGGCATCCAGGTCTCTGTGTGGTGCCCTCCCATTGAATTGGAGCTGGTGTATGCGACCAATAGAATACAGCAGAAGTGAGGGGGTGTGACTTCTCAAAGCATGGCAAGCAGATCTCTTTGCTTCCTTGCTCAAAATATTTGAATAGCTTCCTGTCTCACTCCATAAAATTTGAATTCTTTACCTTGCCTTAATAACATCTTTGATGAATTCTGACTTCATCTTCCACCCCTCTCTTCCTTCCTTTGTCGGCACATTGACTTCACTGCCCCTCGCACCCACCTTGACCCTGACATCAGCGCGGTTTGCTCTCTCTGGTCTCTGCTCACAGTGAATGTCACGTTGACAGTGAGTCCCTCGTGACTTCTAGTCTGAAATAACCCAGCCCCAACAAAATCACAGACGCTC